GGTTACCAAAATGCTTTTTTGCCAATATCAGGCTTCTTGCTTGATGCCCTCAATTTCAGCCAAGGTATATGCACACATCCTCCACCTCCATAAGCCTGCACAGCATGGGCATACGGGTAGAGCTGGCATAAACACTACACTGCTCGATCCTCACCCAATCATCATCACTGGCAGAGCTTGACTCAACGTATAGCTACACGGTCTATGCACTCATTTTCCATTGCTATTGGAAATGTCAAAAGGAAGAAAGCTAGACTTCCTTTAAACCTTGTGATGCCGTAGCTAATTTTTTTCCCATTCTTTGGCACACGTTAAAATGCTCATTTTAGGCCTAAAGATTTTCCAAAAGCCCCAAAAACAATATATATTTTCTAAAAGCAGAAATCCTGTATAGGATAGTGGCACTTCCGAATTTTTATGTCATACCCTACTGTTTACCAAACCCATGTTTTCAGTAAAGCATACTCGCAAATTAATTTTAGTTATGGAAGCACCGATATATCGGCCGCCGAAACACATCGGCCGAAAATGGCACTTTTGGCAAAATGCCGAAAGTGCCATTCTCTGGCCGAAATAGCAGTGCATTCAGGATTTCTCTCCTCCCTGCTGGGCGCTGCTCTGTGTCGCAGCGGTGAGGAGAGAAACTGTCACAGGCGGCAGAGCGCTGCGGGAGGAGAGCTCTGTGAGCGGCCGGCGTCTCTCCTCCCCACAGCGCTCAGCCTCCTGTCACAGTTCGGAAAAGCGGCGGGGTGGGCGGAGACAGCCAGCGCTGTCACAGGAGGCTGAGTTCTCCTCCCGCACTGACCCGCCCCGCCTCCTGTGAAAGCGTGTCAGGATGCGTACATATTTGCGTGTGCATGGGGGCTTTTAATTTCGGATGACTCAGATCACAGATACAGTGTACAGAGTGAATCAGAGCAGCTCTGTATCTTGTGATTGATCATCACAGCAATCACAGATATAAACACTATAGTATTTACAGGAAGCCCGCCCCTCCTTCTGACAATGGAGGAAAGAAGACGTTAAGATTTATGAATAAAGGGATTGTAGGCAGCAGCAGCAGATGATTCATGGTGAAGGATTGTAATTGATTGTGGGATTCTTTTTTCCACCACCCTCCTCTCTTCTACATGTCATCTCCATGCTGTCTTGATGTGACTTGTACATTAACTCCTTCACCCCCTCTTTTCTCTGTGTGTGACCGATACATTAATAATGTACTGTATTTAGAGAATGATTACCATGCTCCATGATTTTACCACCTCAATACCAGCATGTTTCTTCCCAAAAAAATGTATGGCAAAAATAAGATCATCTTAGGGTGCCTACTTTCCAAAAAGGGATCATTTGGGGTTTTGTACTGTTCCAGAATTTGTATTTATAAAACCTATTTGTTGTCTGTTCTTTATATAGTAAAAAAATACAAAACCCAGTATTTATAAAATACCACAGAAAGAAAGCTCTGTCTCAAAAAAAATTTTTTTACTTTGGGTACAGTGTTGCATGACCGAGTAACTGTCAATCAAAGTGTAACAGCACGGAAAGATGGCCTGGTAATGAAGGGGTATATACTGACTGGTTCTTAAAGTGGGCCTTTACCCCCTTTGACTAAAAATCACATCAGCATAGAGCTCTGCATGCTGATATGAAATCATCTTACATTCATTAGCTAAATAAACCTATTTTACTTACAATTTATTTCTCCACTTCCTGGTCCATTTTGGCACAAATGATGTAATCATTCCCAAGCGCGGCATCCTGGGAAGGTTACATCAGCAGAGCATTGCTGGGAAAGCTCATCTGTAATCTCACGAGATATCAGGGAAAGGCATTTTCCTCCCCTGAGATGATGTACATGGTCACATGTCCTAGTCACATGTGCCAGAGTACCAGGAAGTAAAGAGGTCTTGTAACCTGCCCTTAGTTAAAATGGCCACTGTCAGAAGACTGGGAAAGAAAAGAAAAATGAGGTATGAAAAGAAAAAAAAGCCGGCAATTATCTACGTATGTGTTACTCAACATTTCTAAAAGTGTATTTGTTGTCATTTTGAAGATACAGTGGTACCTCAGTTCACAAATGCTTCTGTTCGCGAACAATTCAGTCCGCGAACAGGAAGTTCAGCAAAATTTTGCTTGCGTCCGCGAACACCGCATCAGGTGACGAACACAACCGCAGCCATCTTCCTTGCTCTGACACGTGGTCGTGGCTTCCTCTAGTCGAGATCGCGGTCTGATCGCAGTTTGATTCTGTTTGCGACCAATTCGATTAACAACCAGAATCTTGGAACGAATTAAGTTCGTGAACCGAGGTACCACTGTATGGGTAAAGTTAGTAAATTGATGAATCTCTTATCACGCTTTTCCCTGAAGCAAAGGGGGTTGTTTATTCTTTTGTGGCTAGATCACTGAACATACTGAGCCTGATGAAGGGGACCTCTTGAGGCCCCGAAAACACGTGCAATTTGAAATGGCAACTGGTTATTAAAACAGACTTTTGCTGATCCCTAAAACTGGTGTGCTGGTGACATCTTTGATATTAGATCACTGAGCAAACCCGCTTGCGATACAGCTGTAAGGCCAAAGTGTAACAAATGTGGAAATGCTTCCGGACTGAACCGCGTGCGTTCTCTCATTAAAATTGTTTTTTTGTTTTTTTTACGGAGAGAGAAAATTTAGAGCAAAGAAGTAATTTCACTAAGTGGTTGGGTACCGGCGGCTTAACAATTCTCTTCAGTCAGTGCTATGCCAATTCAATAATCCGTGGAATCATACAACCCTCATTGCTTAGCCACTGAAAGCCAGAGAGAATTTTGAACATAAAAAGTAAACAAACTTATGGGGTTTCGCAGGGTCCACAGTGTCCCCCTATCAACAGCATCAGCGGGAAAAGAACAGAACTGACATCTTGAAAAGGCACGCACTACAAGAGGCTATTTTGTAATGGGAAAAGGTAAATAATAACAATAAATTGAAACATATCTATTTACTGTAGGACCCTGGTGCCCAACCTGCAGCCTCTGGCAGTTTTTGTGCAGCCTTCGCGGCCCCTGCAGACAGTGCTGGCCTTACCCTTACCTAGGTCCTTGCACAAGCCAGTAAAGTTTCTTTTACACTATCTTACTTTTTTCTATGTCATCCATCCCTTTTCTCTTTTAATGTATTCTTTCTTGCAGTCTATTATAATGGATCTTGCTAAGAAAATATTAAATGTAGGACAATTAATCTATAAGGCGTCTGTATTGAGCAGAAATGTGTAAGCATTGATATGAAAAGACACTGCACTAGTAGTGATCTCTAAGGGCCTGTTCACACGACGTCCGTTTTCTGTGCTGACCTGAACCGTACGCTCCTGCACTAAAAATGCATCCCAATGTATCCCTATGTGTTTTATGGGCTACAGTTCTCACGTGCGCAGTACGTTCAGGTTACGACAGAAAAATACTGCATGTCACATTTTGTACGGTCCGGAAACACAAAACGCGTCAAAAACGCACAGCAATGCAGCTAACAGTGACATCCCCACTCCAGCAAAAAAATAAAAAAAAAGGAATTTTTTTTCACTAATACACTATAACATACAATGTTTTTAGTCAGTAATTAAACTATGAAGGTGAGTGAAATTGTCACAGGTCGCCTCAATAGATCGGGAAGTGAGCAAACACATACAGTCGCTCGCTCACTTCTCCGATCTATATATATATATATATATATACACACACACACACACAAAAATAAACCACTCCCACCAATCTCTTAAACACTAATACACTATAACATACAATGTTTTTAGTCAGTAATTAAACTATGAAGGTGAGTGAAATTGTCACAGGTCGCCTCAATAGATCGGGAAGTGAGCAAACACATACAGTCGCTCGCTCACTTCTCCGATCATCTCCCTGCAGAGAGCGGTGACTGTCAGTCACGGGTCCCTGCAGGGATTCCCCCCCCCTCCCCGATCCTCCAGCTCTGATTGGAGGAATGAACGGGGAGGGGGTGGGCACAGCTGGCTCTGCCTCTAGATAGGCAGAGCCGGCTGTCATTCACCCAGCTGGGTGGATCTCGACAGCATTGTCGGGATCCGTCCAGGCTGCGGCACTCTCGGTATATAGCGAGGTGTAGCTCGCGATGTACTGAGCTTTGGGTCACGGGAGGACGCTAGTATATGCCCCCCCGTGACCCTAAAGAGAACTATGGGGAAAAACACTTACCCCATAGTTCTCTCTTCATTTAGAAATATACGTCTTATATACAATATCCCCACAAATAAAGCCCTATTCCGAGACCCACCAACAAAAACAACCTTTAATCATGAATATTCCTATTTAAAAACATTTACTAAAACCACCTAATGATATCTTTGATCCCCCCAAACCACAGATAATACTATCGTCTCAAATACCATCTACTAAAAAACAATCACTGAAATATCATAAAGGCTGGAACATTTTAAAGGTGGTTGTCAGTCTTTTAAAATCTGCAGCTCTTATTAAAAGAATACCCGGTGATGCTGCTATGACGGTCTTTGTTCAGGAACTACCTGTTATAAGGGGACAAATGTCTCCCAAATGTTCTCATGTGTTGTCCCTCTCCCCTGATTAAAACTGCAAGCGGCTTTGTCAACACATGTTTCACAGGCACGGCCCACCGTTGTCACCATCAGGAAGCTGGTCCTAATTTATATGCAGCCGACACTGGAGTAAGTGCATGCAGACAGCAACAAAAAAGGCTAAAGGAGCTGCAAAAACAAGTCATTTATTAAAAATAGGTGTACGGTACCCATTTAGGGTATAGATCTTCTTTATTTCTCCATTTCTGTGAAATTACCAGAGATATAAGAAACGAAACCGTTACTCGTTGTGACCGTGACAACGCAAAGCTGCAATATCGGTTTGGAAGGAACTGGACGTTCACACAAGGCAGCGATTGTACTAAACATACAGGCAATAAAAAGTCATCTAAATAGGTTAACCTAAACGTAATAAAATCAAGAGAGAACTTACCAGCTGTAGGATGTCCTCGTCTTTTGGCATCACACTCAGTTCTAACGTGGAATCGCTGAAACACAATATTTTGCACGGTTATGCGACATTTCGCTGTTGCCAGATTGGTAATGTATTCTTATACGGTATCATCATTGACATGTCATTTTTAGTGTCTGTGTACACTATGCCCTGCCAGTTCCAGCACACTGCTGAGCGGATATGGTGGCAACACTTCCAAACTCATACGTCACAGCAGTGCAAAGAGGAATGATGAACTGGGAGCTGCAGTAATGCTGTGCAACAGATTCATTTTTTTAAAGAATTACACTTTGACAGCGGCAGATTGGCTGCCATCGCTGTTCGGCCAAACATTTTCAGACCGGCCCCTTTGGCAAAAGGCAACTGAAAAATCAACGGGTTGAATTTCAGCTGAATCAGCAGGACATGGCCCAAATACATACAGTGACCATGCCTTTGATTCTGGGTAAGTTTGCATCAGGGGAAGGTGGGCTACTTTGGCTCAGCAGGGGTTAAATAGGATAAGCACTAATCCTTTAAATATTTGAAGCCACTTACCCATTAGAAGCATGCCAATACAGACTCTGAACATTGTTCATGTATATGCAAAGTATTGCATGGTGGTAAAGTATTAAAACCAGAACTAGAACTATTAAAATTATGTCAGCATTTGCAGGTCCCAAATTTTCCTCATGACAGGTTTACTTTAAGGTTTCACACCAGCTAACCCTTTTTTTTCCTGTTTTTATTGATGTCCAAGACCCTTATTTCTATTGATGTCCAGGACCACACTGGGGAGATTTCACCTCACTTCCTGAGTTTGCAGGGGCAGAGGCTCTAATGATTTCCCATTTTACTGAAAAATGTTTTTTTCTTTTTGAGGTCTGTCTCTATTGGTAGGATCTCCAATCACTTCCTGACAGGAAGAGAGCATAAATATCTGAAATGGGGACAAAGACCGCAATAAAAAAAAAACCTGACAAAAGCTTCCTCTTGATCCTGTCTGAAAGTAAAGTTTTGGCAGCATCTTGACTTTCAAAGCAGACTTAAAGCTGACTTTTACACTCAAAAATCTAATTCTATCACTCATGTCCTGCACAAAATGCCCATCATCATATACTCCACACTCCTCTCATATAATTGTATGATGATTATTAATAACAGATATGTCAGGTGTAAAATGCTGTGATTCTGAAATACTTAAGCTGCCCATGCGCCTGACTATTATCATACGATAAGCGCGGGTTGATGGGCAGCATGCCACCACATATACTGTACGGTCGTACGATTTTCGTATAATGAGCACGCTAGAAAATACGTAGGTAGGTAGCGTGATGGCAAGGCGAAAGTCGCACGACCCAAGGTGCGCAAGCGCACACTGCCCGCTCACCATTGCAATAATCTGCAAGCCCTCCCCTCAGCAGTGAGGACTTGCGATGATCGCAAGTATGATCTGCCTGTCCCTGATGGGCAGGTTGTACGAAATGTTAAATCACCTTATAACCATTGCACAACGAAAGTCGTGTGATGGTTGTAAGCTGTATGGCCACCTTTACACTTTAGAGAGCATTCACTTCTTGCTTTGAAAGGAAAAATTGGACTTCAGTTTGCCAACACAATGCACACTGGGGTTGCCTTGTTAGCAGAGAATTGCTGGGAAAAGCTCACCTCAGTGAAAGGCATTTTCCTCCCCTGATATGGTGTGCATGGTCACATGTCTAGTCACATGTGCCAGATTTTAGCAATAGTAATAAATGAGCTAGTAATCTGCCCTTAGTAAACATGGCCACTGTGAGAAGACTGGGGAAGGAAAGAGAAATAAGGACATTGACGACATGGTGAAAAAGACGGCAATTATCTAGAAGTATGTGTTTGTAGATTGTCATTACTAAACATTTTTAAAGGTGTATTTGTTGTTATTTTAAAGATATGGGTAAAGGTCCACTTTAAGAGCACCATCTTTAAATTGCTTTAGAAGGCTAGTAGCTGATCATCGCTGTCAAATTAAATGGTTGCTTTTTCATACGGCTCAAAAAGAATGCTTTTAGTTGTGCTTGATAATATAGCTCCCACCGTACCTCTCCATGCTACAGGCATAATAGACATCAAGACTGCTGTCATGCCCCCGCCTGCCCCGTCTACATTTGACCATTCACAAAATGCAGCCTGCGGTGACGCTGCAGCCACGTGTTTTGTGAATGGCCAAGTGTATTGACAAACAGGACAACGGTGCTGTACAACCAACATGATAGACATCATACCTGCAGATTTCATGTTGGCTGTACAATCTGCCACAGCTAAAGCATGGGGAATTATGAAGCAAGCAAATATTGAATTACTACATGTCAAAGGTAAACAGCTACTAAGTCCTCCATAGCTGTTTAAATGATGTTACTTGGAGTTTAGCTTTAATTCTTTGCGATTGGTTGCTACACTTTGCAGTGCCAACACGAAAAAGCCACATAGACTACGTTGCACCCCATTTGTCTATAGTACATGCAAAAAATGCCCACTAAACACAAGGCACAGGGTTTTCCTATCATTAAGCATAACCAGCATCTCTGTTGTGACTGAGCAGGACGATTACTCATTCAGATCCAGCAGGAATTCTCATTGGCACTATCTCTGTGCAGGCTGAGGAAACAAATGTCAAAGTATCGACTCTCCTATGAGAATCACGTATTCCTTTCAAACATCCAATCAGGTGCAAGGAATATATGAAATAAAAACTCCTGCATATAACTTGATGTTTGAAGTGAATACACATTCGCTTTGACTTTACCTCTATTTTGTAAAACCAGCAAGAAGTGTACGCCAACCATGTTTATAAAGCCAACAAGACTACATAGGAGTGTGTTGAAGCAGATACATACCTGTTCTGTATTAGTGCAATGACTTGAGAATAGGTCTTCCCAATGATGCTTTCCCCATCCACCTTTATGATTCTGTCCCCTAGAATTACACAGAGAAGCATTACTATATACAGCTCATCCCTCATCATATTTCTAGGAAGATAAGCTACAAAAATGGAGAAAAACATGGCTCTGTGCTGATATCAGATTCTAGCTGTCAGTTTTCTGTAAAATTAAGATAAAGGGCACCTTTGTGATACAAATACATTACAACTGTTATTCTGCTCCTCATACAAGGCTGGGACAATAGCTTGTTCTAAAATAATTATAGCTGTCAATCCTTTCCCTAGAAAAAGCAGAGGCTGCCAACTGCAGGAGGGGAACGTTTACATTGCTTTTTTTGATCCCCCTCATGTTCTCCCTGTGCCCTTATCCCCAACTCACAATGCCCGCATTCATCCTCAGACACCCAACAGCATACAACACTTCTACGCACAGCACATCCCTTCCCAACTAGCACACCCCACTAACAGCACAACTGCACACAGGCATCTTTTAAGGTCCTTTCTCTGGTCACAGTTTAACTCATTCTACACCCCCATTCTGCATGCTCAAACTGTGACCTCACCCCTGCTTACATTTCTCTATGAGCACCTCACAGTGTCCACCATTCTTCAGCCATCACACCCCCACTCACATCATCACCCCCTCCGGCTCACAGTGCATCCTCACTCCCTACACAGGACGGACACCTCACAATGGACGCCCCTTCTCTCTAAGCACAGCACATCCCTCCTGAGGCAGTACGCTCTACCAATAGCAAGTTCCCCCTTTATTGCCCTTCCCTCCTGCTCACAGTGAATCACTCCCAACTAACCTAAACCACCCACCCCATTCCTTTTATACCAAAAACCCCCACCAAACAGTGAGTTACACAAGGGCATACACATTACTACTCAAACCTTAGCCTCGGCCACCCTCTCGTCCCTGATCACTTCAAAGCCCCTATCGGACATCCATTCCTGTAGACGTTCCACATCCCTCCTTTCCTGGCAGCGCACTCCGTTGACCTACATCCTTCTCCACCCACCTCCCCACTGACAGACATCTCTCCCCGGCCCCCTTATCCCCATTACTGCATGCCTCCTACTGTCATACATTCCACACTCATGTCCTGCACAAAATGCCCATCATCATATACTCCACACTCCTCTCATAAGCACATAATGCTTATCAACAGATGCTTCACACTTCTCTCCTGTGCATATGGCCTCCAATCACTTATTTCCTGCACATACTGGTAGCCATCATGACCTCTGCACCCCTCTCCTACACATACTTACGGTCTACTCTTGTACTCTTCTTTTTTGCACATACTGCTCGTTGTTGTACCCTACGCACGCCTCTCCTGCACATACTGCCCACCACTGTACCCTATGCAATTATCTCCTGCATGCACTGCCTGCAGACATACTGTTAACCACTCACAATGATTTTGAACATAACCCACCTAGCCCATTCTGGAATGGCCACACTTTTAGTAAGCTTTAAACCAATGCATTTTTTGTAGCACAACAAAAGATACAAAAACAATATACACATTCTCCAAGGACGGACAAAAAATTAAGTACCTGTACACAGCCCTGCTAAGTGTGCCGGGCCGCCTTCCTTAACTTGCTTAACAAAAATGGTGTCCATTGGCTCCAGTCGGTTTCTTTGCCTTCCTAATGGAAAAAAAAAGGATATAACATTTTAAGACTGAATAATCCATAGGCATAACAATACTGGTTTTATAATATATTGCACAGTTTACAAAGGAAATAAGGTGTTTGTAGCTCTCACTGATACGCATTAAACAAATGTAAGTAGAAAACATACCATACAAATGAAATGTTATCAGTTTTCCCAGCTATCGTCAAGTGAATTATATAACCCCTCCTCCCTATGAAATGGAGAGATCTCTGTAGTACGGTCCTAGGGTGACAACGTTGCTAATCAATAGATATAAGGGCCTGTTCACAGCAGCCCCACTGCGTTCCGGACCGCACCCCGGCCGCCTCACTGCGTTCTGGGGCGGGAGGGGGCGTAGCGGTGCATTGAAGTCAATGGTACCGCAGCTACGCCCCCCCAGTTGCAGTGCGATCGCCCGCACCCGAATGCGTGGAACATTAATGCTTGAGTTCCAGTCCGGTGCGATCAGAAAAAATAGTGCATGCAACATTAGTGCAATGCAGGCAGCATTTTTTCTGACCGCACCAGTCTGGAAAGCCTGCTATCGGCTATTGCAGTTTAAAATAACCAATAGCAGTCTGTTTGTTATTTCCAGCCGCTGATGGGAGACTTGACACCCATGTTCCCTCAAGTCTGAGGGATTGCTAGAACACCGGCAGAAGGGAGGAGCACGTGGGAGCAGCGGAGGAGGAACGGGGCGGGCAGCGGAGGAGGAATGGGGCGGGCACCAGTGGTACAAGACGGGGCAGCGGGGGAATGCAATCTCTTCTCCCCACTGGTGCCGGCTGCAGTTGTCTGTGTCCCCGTTGCCTCTGCCGATAGAGGCACTGAGTGCAGCCGGGATTGAAAGGGACACAGACTGGTGCAGCCGGGATTGAAAGGGACACAGACTGCTGCAACCAGCACCAGCGGGGAGGAGAACGGAGAGTACTGTATAAATTAGGGCTGCAACAACTAATTGAAAATCAACTAATCGATGATGAGAATAGTTACCAGCGAGTCGCATTATCGATAATAATTGGATTAATCGATTCGTTGTTGCAGCCCTAATTTATACAGCACTGTCAGCACTGTCACCTTAGGATGGAAAGTGTTACTGGAAGGATCACCAGGTGAAAAGGGGAAAAACTGAAAAGAAAAAAGAAAATTAAGGCAGCCGCCACATTATGGATTGTGAGCTTTCAAATACAGTAAAATACGTATTTAGGCCATAGTATCATATGACTCTTTAGAAGGGGCCACACTAAATAAAAAAGGTCATCAGTGACATCCCTATGAAAGCCTTGGGTAGCCCATTACTGGGTAATAACTCACAGCAATGAAGGACCTTACCAGAGTCCTCAATATTAGTCCACAACACCAGAAAAGTATAATGCAATTTCTAAAGCCCCTTTATAATAATTTGGGGTTAACTGCTCTATCAATATTTATATTGTGATACGAGCCAATTGACCCATGATGACCGGCTAATTATTTAATCAAATGTTTCGTCTGCAAAATGAACGCTTCTTTATTCATTCCCATGTCCTCATCTGAAAAGCACTTTCACTGTAATTTAAGATGTCAGATTAAGTTCTATGCTCGAGTAGGCAAATGTCTGCCAATCAGTATCCAATTACAATAGGATAGTCAGCCATGAAGCCAAGATGCAGTGTCCAAAACATGGCAGCCTTACTAAATGGCTGGACCTCTTACAAAGCAGGAGGAGGACATTTGGTGCTTGTAAGAGAGTCAAACAAAGTCTACGCTTCCGCCGTGGGCTTGCAGGTCGTCTTTGAAAGCACACCTGTCCTCGTGTCATTATTTCCATAATTTATGGAGATCAGACATCGATTTCCAGATATTAAAAATCGGCTTTCATCTAGAGGGCCAGCACTCTGGGTCAGTGGTTAGCACTGTTCTGCATTATGCTGGGCTCCTGTTTTCGGGTTATACCCGGACACACAATAAGCTTGGAGTTTGTACATTCCCCGCCGGTATGCTTATAAAAGGTCAAGTTATATTAATTTATTTTTGTCATCTGTAGAAGCACCTGTAATGGAGGACAAGCCTACTCACACCAGTCCATGGCCAGTTAAAGTACCTACAGAAAAATGTTATAACCTGCCAACTGACTTGTAAACGAATGGACCCTCTGCTGTGATTCCCCCATACCTGCTGCAGTGTAGGCTAGGTAGGCAAGGTACAAAACTGGTCATACACCAGTAGAATTTCATTTTATTTACAGAATGTTAATTACATTTTCTAATATTTATTTTCTAGTATTTTTCCTAATATCTATATATTCTAATTAGGGATGCACCAATACCGATACTAGTATCGGTATCGGTGCAGATGCCGAGTATTTGGGCGAGTACACGTACTCGCTCAAATGCTCCAATGCCTAGCCGGATACTTCTTGTATCAGGAAGCCGGCTCTATGCTCCCTCATCACTTGTGACGAGAGAGCATGGAGTCGGCTTCCCGGCCAATCAGGAAACCGGGCAGCGTGTAATGACTTGCTGCCCGGCTTCCTGATTGGTCGGGAAGCTGGCCAATCAGGAAGCTGGGCACCGTGTAATGACCTCATGACGAGTAAGCATGGAGCCGGCTTCCTGGCCAATCAGGAAGCTGGGCATCGCGGCAAGTCACGGCACCCAGCTTCCCGATTGGCCAGAAAGCCGGCTCCATGCTTACACGCCGCCGGCTTCCTGGCTAATCAGGCAGCCAAGAGGCGAGTCATTACACGCTGCCTGGCTTCCTTAATGGGACTTCCGGTGTCGGTATCGTCGAGTACCGTAAAAAAATAATCGGTAGTCGATACTGAAATAACGGTATCGGTGCATCCCTAATTATAATACATTGGGGTTGTGTTTGATGACATGGACGAGAATAAAATTATATTGTTTGTTCCGTCCTGCTGAATCGATTCCACAGTGAATGTGGTTTGGTTTGAAAAATTGTACTTCTAAAATTAAACATTACAATTAAACAAAATTTTGAACAACATTTTGAAAGTTTCTACAATGCTACAAAGATGCAGGCATAATTTTTAGCGCAGTGCACTGCAACACAAGTCAACGTGCTCCAACAACTGTTGTGTGGAGACTTGAATGAAGTTAACGCAAAACAGTATGTAGCGGAACAGCGCATCTTTACACAACATGACTATGTGCTGTACAATGGCTCTGTCTTGCTCTATCAGTGTGTTTATAGATACAGTAGGCTCAGAGAGGGTGGGTCTGGAAGCAGTGACCTCTCTGGCTGCCATTTAGGGCCATACAAAAGATGACGTCATGGGTAACGGACGCCATGGGTAACGGACGCCATGGGTAACGGACGCCATGGGTAACGGACGCCATGGGTAACGGACGCCAACAGCATGGACAAGGATATGGACTTAAGGGAAAAACACAATCATCAAATCCAATTAAATGTAAACACACATAGGAGCCAGACAATAATGTAAAAGAGCCCAAGAGGAATTTTAACAGTTCACAAATCAACCATAAAAGAAAAAAACAACACATTTCGGGGGCTACAGCACACACACCCCTTCATGAGGGATATAAAACAGATACAAAAAATAAAAGTGAGAAATTATTTTCTCGAGTTTATTTTGCTTTTTATTTGGTATTACAGTTTTGTACCCTGATAAAGGGGGAGTGTTATAGCCCCTGAAATGTGTTGGCTCGTTTATATGGTGGAAATGTTTAAAGATTAAAATTCTTCTTGGACTCTTTCATATTATGGTTGGTCTAGCATCTATTTGTGTACGTTTACATTTTAACATGGACCTTAGCTTTCTAAATTCCTATCAAATAGTTTTATCAACTCACCAATGTCACTTTCTCCACCCCCACCCACCCCCCAATTCTCTCTTCCTTATCTGGCTTACTTTTTCAGTTTTATTACCATGTTTGTGTTTTTTGTTGTCTGTTCAGATTTATCCTAACACTTCGCAAAATAATACTGCTTAGCCCTAAAATAAGGGGGAAGATCTCTTAACGCTTGCCTTAAAAAAATTACTTATTTCAAATAAAAGACCGTACTCAACGGTGTGTAAATAAAGCAATAAAACTATTAAATATGGCAATACACAAAGGGCAATGATGTCCAACGGCCCACAGCAACCAATCACACACTGGCTGGCAACAGTCCAGGGTGCGCAGAACATGTAGCGAGCTTGTTATTGTGAATTACTGCACAATATATCTCTGTGCAAGGCATTAAACAAGCTGTGCGTGAATGAATGTAAAATAGCCCAAAGCGTAAACAAAAATTGTTATTCTCTCTAACAACGAGATTTTAAGATGGCACAGTTATCAAAACGGCAACAGCTATCCGGCCACACTGCATTCCTGGGATGACAGACTATTCTTAACTGCTACACACTGGAACATTTTTGACATAGATGGAACATCAGACCCTCGCAGTCTCCATTGCAGTGAATGTTTCTTTAAAAAGAACGTCCTTCACCTGTTTATAACATAACTGCAAGAAAAACCCATAGGAAAATGCTTCAGTTACGTGCATTGGAACAAATAAAGAGGAAGCCATTACCAAGTCAGCTTTTTATAGGTCATCAGCGGCAGTGGGAATGTAGCTAACTTATTTTTACAGCCAGACATAAAGCTGTAGCAGTCATGTCAACTGGGTGCCCTCTAGTGGTAATAATCCCATATTACACAACTGTACTACTACTATGCTACTTGCTTGGTGATTTACCCACAGGTGCAATGGAAGGTAATACAGGCAGAGATCTCATCTTTTAAAGCAGAATGCAAGGCTCAACAACAACAAAATTAAATCAAAATCAAATGCAAGCATTTACATGTTGTTCCTACAACATTCAGAGCAGCGAATACATTGTCTGAAAATACAGGGACTGACTCCGCCACCTCTGGTACATCCTGCTGATTGCCGTATTCTATATAGCACAATAAAGGGAAGCTCGGCTGTTTTGGAATCAGTTTTTTTTCCCTCTACTCTGGGCTAGCTAGGGGCCTGGGCT